TCTTCCATGAGAGAACCAAGCACATTGAAGTTGATTGTCATTTTATTAGAGAAAAAATCATATCCGGAGATATCAAGACTGAGTTCGTTAACTCAAGCAACCAGTTGGCAGACATATTCACCAAGTCCTTACGAGGACCTAGAATTGACTATCTTTGTAACAAGCTTGGAGGAACATATGATTTATATGCTCCAGCTTGAGGGGGAGTGTTAGATGTTAAGTTGTGTGTTTATGTTAATTGGGCTTAGACCATTCTGTATTTAGGGTTTAACCCTTATCTTACATTATAAATAAACTATCCTATGTGTATGCTAAACACATAAGGGAGATTTCTCCTAATCTTCTCTATTATTTAACAATGACTATAAAAAGAGAAAGTTATCTGAGTGTTATGGGTCAAAAGAAAAAAACATGATATGTATTTATATTAATTTACATAACAAAAAACAATAAGTTTTCACCTAACAATCAGTAATTCATGATTTCATATCCTAGAACACGTACCAACTAATAATTAACAAATCTGTAACAGCTAATGACTAATTAGATTTTAACACTCCTTCTCAAGTTGGACAATAAATAAAAAATACACTACACTCTTGGTTTCTATAATGTCCACAAGTGATACATTAATAAATAAAATATATGAAGAATTAATAAAATGTATATGAATATTAAAATTATAATGGATATTTCACTTTCAACTCAAATTTAATAAAAAAGCTTTCGTTACACCTAAGCTACAAACATTTAAGTGTCAACATTGAAAGTTATTCCTAGCCAACCTTAACCAGGTATGCTAACAATAACTTTTGTCGACATTTTCAACTCTTCAAGTTAGCTTCATTCTTCTCTTCTAAGCAAAACCATTAAATTTGAAGATAGGAAAATGTGGAAGAATAAACTTTGAAATCATTGGTTATCGTGTAAAGATACATGAGAGCTTATCAAACATATTCTTATATAATCGAACTAAAAAGTACTTACCAACCCTGTCCAAATGGTGGCAATGGTATTTCCCAATTCTTTCCACGTAATACTGCACTTGTAAATCTAAACAACCAATGTCAGCCATCAAACGTATTAGAATATTTCTTATGTAAGAAATTTAAACTCATTAAGCATAGGCATCAAGCTTAAACTTTCAGTTATGTGCTCTCAAACACCTAAAAATACTATCAACAATTTTGACAGGAAAATGAATATAAGAGACTTTAAACGATAAAATATTACATTGATATGACGAATAAGGGATATAAGGTTGGTTTGTGTCAAGACCGTGCTGCTCATTAGGTATTTTAGGAAGTTTTTTTTATTTTATCCTTGATGTAACTTTATTCTTTATTATTTAGGACCAATGGCCTCATTATTGAAAAACGGACTATTATTCGTTCTAAATTTGAAATGTTATTGGAGCTCTTGATCTTTGGGTGTATCTAACTGTAAATATCAACCCTAAAACACAACCTTTATTGCTGCACCCCTCGAACATATTGCAGCCTTCATTGTTGCACCACTCTGATCGTATTGCAACCTTTATTGCTGCATAATCCACCTATAGGCTGAGATCATGAATTCTAGAATGGAAATTGGGGACAGATCTCAAATTGCTAGAGAATTACAGAATGTTCAGGCCACAGGTATTCGTTCTCTAACATTTTTCGATAAGTTTCCATTTTCTTTTTACCTTAATGCTTACAATACACCTTCTTCTAACAGGTACGTGTTCTCTACCCACAATACTTCTTCTCCATATATTCTGTGTCCTAACAACAAGAAAATTTTCACAACAGATGGAAGTCCATCCATAATCTTAAAAAGTGTCCTTCAGATCCTTAAATTGTCTAATAATTTGATTTTAGTACAAAAACTCAAGCTCTTTCATGTAATGTTGCTTTTCATAGCAATTCTTGTATTTCACAGCACCCAGCATTTGGAATAAGCAATAAAGGTCCTAAGGACAGTGTTTATAACGGTGATAGCATGTAAGATTTGCCAGAGTAAGGTGTTTGGACTGCTACTTGCGGCAATCCTAGTGATGTGTTATCATGTGTGGAAAGTTTGTTACCAATGCAACTTTTAAAAAGTGGATTTTAAGTTTAACTCAACCCTACAAAATCGACTTTTAAGATGAGATTTGCAACCACTTATATACTCTAACTTGATCTTATTTCTAATCGATGTATGTGATACTTCAAACAACAACTACCAATATTGTGATCACTAGAATGGGGAACTCCTTCCTAGCCAACCAATGACCTCAACAACAATGGCCAACAGCAGCAGTAGCAGCAGTTAATGTGGCAACTATTGCATTCTCAGCATTTTTATTTATAATAATCAATTTAAAATAGGAAAATATAAATATACTAAAACGAATAAGAAAATGCTACATATATTTTTTCCTAATCAATATGGAGATATTGAAGATATTTTTATCATAATTTGCTATTTACAACAAGAGTAGATCCAAATTTTAGGAACTTCGTAGCCGAGAATTAATTCAATAGGTAAACGAAGATGGTACTACAGTAAAATGTCAAAAACCAACTCAAAGGCAAATAAAATTTCATATTAAGTGTTAACAATATAAAACTTGAGTAATGCTAAACAAATTAATAACAATAAAAACTCATTGGAAAAAAAAAATCAATCCATCAAAATAGGCCAGTAGGCCTTTTGAGTTTTGTTTTGCTATACGGTTGTTAAAGATATTATCTTTAGTTTATATTTATCTTTTATCTTTAGTTAGTTTTTTATATTTCTTATTTGTATTTTGAGCTTAGCCCATATTTCTTTTATCATAGATAGAGGACCTATGTGTATATACAAGGGAGATTAATCCTATATATAATTTTTACTATATTCAACTTGGTATCAGAGCAGGTTGTTTGAGTCTCTTCCTACTCTCATCTTTTCTCAAATACCTCAACGAGTAATCCTGTCTTTCTCAGCCTCCAGATCAGATTTGTACCTAGCCTGACCCTTCTCTAGTGTTTCCAACTTTTTCTGATAACAGCTATAAGCTGAACTTCCAGAGTTTGTCTCAATACAATTAGAATGGGATTCGAACCCATGCACTTTCGGACCAGTACCTGAAACTAGTGCTTTAGATCAACTGATGCCAATCATTTTGGCACTCTTATTTGACATTTTTACTGCCTTCAATTCATCTGCACCCAGAATTAAAAAAGAAAAAAGACCTAAAGTCTCTTCTTCTAACAGGGAACCCTAGATAGGCACTCGCCTCCTCCTATACGTGAATAGGCCACTACCTCCACTACACCAGCCGTTGCGAGCCACAGCCCAAGGCTTCACCAGCAACATCGATCGCTGCTTTCCACCATAGGTCGTCGTCGCCATTGCCGCTACCGCCGCCGCCTCATTTTCTTAGGCGAAGTTAGGGGTTTTGTGCGCCTCCTCGAGCGCGACCTAACCCTGGTGGTCTTCGTCTTTGTCTTGTACGCACACGTCATCACACGTCTCCTCTCTCCGTCAGATCTCGGGCGCGTATTGTTCACGTGCCGCCCTTCCCTAGCCGGAAGATCACCGCGCCACTGGCGTTCTGTTTGCCTCACTCTCCTGAGCTTCTTTTGGCCCCTTGGCTTCTTCTCAAGTCCTAGCCATCACTTCAATGGCGGTTCTTCTTGCCGACGGACTGTATGACCTCTTCCTTTGATCGTTATTACTGACTTTCTTCTTGGGCTCGGGTTTAGCCCATACTTCTTGTGATACAGTGCTAAGTATCACCATTTGGAAGTAGTCCAGCAGAAAAACTTTAGACCTCCAATTTGTGTTTGGCTTTTTGATGCAATCTGTCATCCTTATGTTTTGTAAGCAACTGTGAAGCTTCTGTCGCGTTTCATTTACTTACAAGTCTCCAAGGACAGTCGGTTAACACCAAGGAATTTCAACACCAAAGTCATGGGTTGAAGGTTGCTCGGGAGTCTATTTCTAACGAGATTCAAAATCTTAGTCAACAATTTTACCAACCCTTTGTCAGATCTGTTTTTGGGTCCTCTGATGAATAAAGGAGACCATTATGATCTTTCACTTTCACGATTTGTCATCGGCGCGTCGTCATTTTCGCTGTCGTTCGTCGGGAGGGGAGTATGTTGTTCCAACCACTGTAGGTCCCACCAGTCAGAGATGGAAATCCCTACAGTTTGTCCACTGTAGGCCCCATCCTTACTTGATGGCAATTTAGTCCCTACGCCTCCCATCAGTCAGTGATGACAATTTAGTCACTGCAGTTTATCCCTGCAGTGAGGGGGAGTATGTTTCCAGCCACTAGTCAGACACTAGTCAGAGGCCCCACTAGTCAGAGATGGCAGTCCCTGCTTTCAGCCACTGCAGGCCCCAATTAGTCAAAGATGGTAGTCCCTGCAGTTTTGTCGCTTTCAGCCACTGCAAGCCCCATACTTGATGGCAATCCAGTTCCTACAGTTTGTCATTGTCCTCCTTTGTCAAAGTCATCCTACTTGAAGTTTTATGGTGCTAGTTGAAGTTTCGCAGTAGTGACCACTGTCCAATCCATAAGCTGTTGTTAGTTGTTCGTCGACATGTGATTGCACATCTGTTTGTCGCAACTCTTGAAGACAGATCATATATTTCAAATTGAGTTTATTTATTCCAAGCTTGGTTCATACAATCTGTATGCTCCACCTTGAGAGGGAGTGTTAAAGATATTATCTTTAGTTTATATTTATCTTTTATCTTTAGTTAGTTTGTTTATATTTCTTATTTGAAATTTGGCTTAGCCCATGTTTCTTCTATTATAAATAGAGGATCTATGTGTATATACAAGGGAGATTAATCCTATATATAAATTTTACTATATTCAACTACGGTAAATGAAGGGAGAAGAGGAGGGGATATTTTAATTAGACTTCTTTCATTTAGAAATTAGGCGAGGAGGGAAGGGGAAAATAGGGACCCAAAATCTCCCTGCTAATGTTTGGAGGGATTCAAAGGAAAGGGGGGTGATTTATTGTATGCAGACAAAATATTGCAAGATTTATTTTGTTTGTCATCTTCTCCATTATTGGTTATATGGATATAACTGTATATTTGTCTTCCCCTCACCTATGAACTTAGGGCCAAAGTATGTCTTTCTTCCCCTTCTCTCTCTCTCTTTCGAACAAGCTGAGGTTAATTAGTCAGCTATGATGCACAAATATGATAAGTATCGGTTGCGACATGTATCCAATACACTGATAGTTTATTTTGAAAAAAATAAGATACGATACATAATATATGCATATTGAAAGTATATAATAATTCTTAAAAACATGATAAATATATGATTGTTATTGTGTGAATCCAAATTAAAATCATATGTATTGAAGTTGTTAACATAAAAAGTTATAAATTATTATTATCATAAAAGTACAATTGTTTTATAGATAAGATTCATTGATAAATATCGATAAAGTATCCGGACACGGACACATGACCTAAGTAACCCAAATTGAAGTATTGGTGCATTATAATTGGTCATACGTCCTTAGGGAAGAGAATAATAAGAACATTCTCTCGACTCTAGACTTGTCATGTAACTGTCGTGTTTCAATAGTAGAAGACAGAGGTAGAAAATATACCAATGCTGCTTGACTTCCTGTTCATAGAATTTGATGAGTCCCTAACCCCTACCAAGGATAGAGGTACATTACACAAGCATAGGGAGAATAAAAGGAGAGTTTTCTTTTTCACCTTCTTTTGATTTAGTTTTATGTTAAGTTCCCTAAGTTTGCATGGTTGGGTTTACTATATTTTACTTCAACCACTTAGACATGTTAACTTGTTCTTTTTTGTTTATTTTGTAGGCTTTTTTTTTTTTCAAAGATTTTAGATATATTATCCTTATTTAATATTTATCTTTTATCTTTAGTTAGTTTGTTATTACTTCTTATTTGCATTTTGAGCTTAACCCATTGTTTCGGGTGTGGGGTCGAGAATCGCTACCAAACACTCCTTCACACTTTTCTCCTATTCAACTTATGTTATCTTGAGTATACCTAGTCAATTCTTCTATGTCCTTGATGCCTGAACTCCAAACCGTATGGACGGGTACCTATCAAATGCACTCCGACGCTCAAGTCAGTAATCTAACCAATCGGGTATCATAATAAAATCTTAAATTCGTCATAAATACAATCATCTACCTCCTTACCTCAAAGTTGTATTTATAGGTTTCAAGATGGGATTATGATTAATAGAGTTGTAATCACAGCCCAATACCTAATAAGTAAGACTTACTAGTAAACTTGATTAGAGGTTGTACTTAAGGTTGCATAGGATTTGGACCACTCGGCGGTCTTGTTCTCTGGTCGGGCGGTCTCTCACTTGCCCGTATAGGTATCCAGTACACCCATATTTCTTTTATTATAAATAGAGAACTCTATGTGTATATTCAACACAAGAGAGATTAATCTCATACATAATTTTCACTATATTCAACAAAAGGTTGTATGTTATTTTTAAAAAATCTCTACAAACACATTGTCGGCCAAGCTCTTACCTGCCTGGCCCGATGGAGGCCGGCCAAGCTTGGTGGAAGTTGACTAGCTTCTGTCATGGACGACTAGGCTATGTTGCCACACGTTGTTGGGTTGGTGGTGGCCAGCCAGGCACCTTGGTGCTAACTCACGGACATGCATAGCAGCCCCGGCCACATATCATGATAGCTCGACAACCCAACAGTCAGCATCCTAAAAGCTGCATTTATGGTGAAGACGGACACTAAGGGGGTGATTTATGGTGTTTCTACAAGGAAGGTGAGCTGCATATGAGGTGGAGGAGAGAGAAAATCATAAAGCATAAAGCAACTGTACAATCATGCTACCTTTGGCAGCCACCACGTACTGGAATTGAATCAGCATGGAGCCACCATTCTTCCACGCCATAGTTGTCTTTAAACCTAATGTTTAACCTAGTTTCTAGAAGATAACTTTTATTTTTCGTATAGACACCCTTAGGTCATATTTTCCTTGCTTCGAGACTCCTCATCTCACCTATTTAAGGGGCTCTACTTGACTTATAAAGGGTTGATCAATTTAAAGAAATACAGACGTTTTGTTCAATTGTGGGTGTGAGGTTTCTCCTTTGGAGTGAAGTTCTCCTAGCTTTATCTTGAGCAAGCTCAAGTGATGGCCCTTCACCACTCATCTTAAGGGTTGGTTTGCCTTAAGGCCCCTTCAACTGGCGTGCCATCCCCTCTACCACTCATCTTAACGGTTGGTTTGCCTTAAGGCCCCTTCAAGTGACGTGCCATCCCCTCTCCCATTTTCCACTGTCATCTCTTTTCCATCTTTTTTTCCATTTACTGTCATTTTTTATATGTTTTGAAGAATACCATCTTTTGTTGTTTTTGTCTAAATGAACTTTCCTTCCTTCTAGAGCATCTTGAAGTGAACCTTCACTAAATGTCCCGTGGAATCTTTACTTAGCTTTCTTAACTAACATCACACAATATTTTCAAAAATATAACAGGAGCCTACATCAAAATTCCCCTACTCCAGATTGATAATTACAGGAGAAAAAGTGACAGAGTCCACCCGATTTTCCAAGAGTCAATAACTAACAATAAGCATACTCTAGCCTTATCCACATGCAAGGGTGTATGACACCAAAATCAAACTCGAAACTCAACTCAATTACTGCAAATGCACAAAAAGAGCATTATTCATGATTGTTATTATCATTATTAAGTCCAATTATTCACCTGAAATTCACTCTCTGCGGCGACGCAACCTCAATACTGGATCGAACAAAGAAAACGCCATCAGGGGGAAACGTGATGACGTTGTTGAGCGTCCCATTCCGAACATCTATGACCTGCAACACGTCGCCGGCTCGGGTTCCAAATAAGGGAGCCTTCTCGATGATGAAGAGCTGCTCCTTCTCTGTCGTCCACAGCAGCCGCCACGTCGCCGACAGAGAGTCGCCGGTGGTGACGGAGCCAGAGCCTACGGCGGCCATCGCGTCGATGGCTTCAACTATCGCAGCTCGCTTCAAGGGGTCGCTCTGCGTCCGGAGGCCGCGGTCCTGGTCCGCTATGAGGGCGAGAAGGTGCTCCTTGGCGGATCGGGATTGGGTCGTGGCGGAGGAGCAGGTGAACCTCCGGTGACAGTAGCGCGGGCCAGGGAGTTTAGTGGTGAAGGAGTTGGGAATAAGGAGGGTGGCCATGGACATGGGTGGTTGCGATGATTGACTTCCATGGGCCTGTGGAGGGAGTGAACTTGAAAGACTTGGCGGTCGAGAACCCAAATTTCACACAGGGAAGATATTGTGGGAGCCACGTGGAAGGCACGTGGATATTAATGATGTGAGATTTTCCAATTGAGTAGTAATACAATGACACGCCTACTTGTCAGTTACATTCATATGACACGGCACACGTAATTTTTTTTTTTAAAAAATGGCATTCTACTTGAGGGTAAAAGGGGAGAAATGTAAATTTAGTTTTCGTTCTTCTTTCGACAGTGAATGAAAAAAACCATTTAGGTTAACTTTCTCTAACCTGCTTCTCTCACGTTTTCCCTCCTTCTTCGTTGTTTCCCATTTGTGTTTTTGAAGTGGTTGAATCGGTGGTTGTAGAGGTTTTTCGTGGGTTTGAAGGTGTAGCATCATTGTGCCGATCCCAATTGGTGGTTGTGGAAGTTTCCAATGGCTGTGAGGTTTTAGGTTGGCGTTTCCATTTTTGTGGCTTATTTCGTGTGTGACTTTGAGGTAAGGGTTTTCTAATTTTTTCTTTTGTAGTTTTACCCTTTTGAGCAGTTGGGGTGATGGACTGTATAACAGTTAGTTTCTGGAAATTTTATGTCTATTCTCTGCATGTGAAGTTCGAATGTTTTTATTAAGGCAGTTTGGATACAATGTGGGTTGTTATTATTTTGGTTCGAGCCAGATAAGGGTCTATATTTGTTCTCTGGTTGAATCTGAGTGTGGATACATTTGTTTAT